AAGGATATTGCCTCGGAAACAGCGTCAATAAGAACACCCCAGTAAAGCCAGTCGTCATGGCCTCGATTCTATTTATCACACACTTTCACTTGAAATGGCAACGAGATCAACGAATTTTAGATCTTTCCTCTAGATCATGAAGAAAGAGACATACTGACCCATACAAAGGAGCTTATAATCAGACAAAACTGTCCAAAAAGATTTATGAGATGTGATCCCCCTATTTCTTTAGAGATGATGAAAAGATTTATTTGCCAGAACTAAGATATAGCCAAAGATAAAGCAAATACATGACACAAACGCTTTGCAGGAGATGAATGCCTCATGACCTGGCGAAAGTTTATGATATTTATGTATGTCTGGGTGTGGGAATGTATTTATGTATGCAGGTATGCATAGATGTATATATGTATGTATTTATCTAAGTAGGTATGTGTGTATGCATGTTTGCGATACAATCTGATCCTAAGTCGATTCACGGATGGTAACAGAAGAAAGGCAAGATTGAGATGAATGTCTATAGGAAGAAAAGCGATGAAGAATGACTTTACTCACCCGCTGTGAAGCGAATGAAACAGTCGAGCCCGGGTCTGCCGAGGCCTTGGAGGACAGGATGGGCACGGACCTGCATGGGAAGAAGAAGAAGAGACAAGAATAGAAGAGGAATGTACACATCAAGCGGCCAACCGCCGACTGAAAAGTGTTGTCGGGCCGAATTAGAGCGTTGACAACCTACGCTCATGGGGCCACTACACCCGACTTTCATTACCATGCCAACCTCGGACTCGGCTTCAACGCATGCCGAGAGGGATCTGATTATATATATATATATATATATAAATTCAAATATAGAAACATATAATATGCACAAATCTTGAGTGGATTAATATTTTAGTTCTGGAAAGGTGGGAAACGAGAAATTACAGGAGTCGTACATAAAATGATAATCACTATAAAAAGCGGTTTTGGATGGGTCATTTTTGAGTTGGCTTTCATTTTGTACGTATTTCTGTGTCAATAAATGCTTCAAGGCCAATCTTATTTGTAGACAATAGCGAATTTCTTTTAATCTAATCGTGAATGTGACGTTCAGGCCGATACAATCCTCGAGATGCCCTCAGAATTGAAACTCAGGCCTACAGGCATCAAGAAGTTTGGGATGCGCTTTCTGTGGACAATCAGATGTATAGAAAGTGTACGTAAAAATTAGAATAATGAGAAAATAGAAATTTTTGTAAATAGGCATCGATCGGTCACAAGTAATTGACACTCAATCTCTGAATCTCATTTTTGACATTCAACGTTGATGTTGATGGTTTTTCATCAAGTGCTTGGCAGGCAAAACGATGGACTTTTAGGTACAATTCCTCCTGTCTCTGATCGTTGGGTTCAGCCACCTCTGCCAATCAGAGGACATATCTTCCAAGCATGAAAGTGACCGCATAAAATACTATTTTGCCAAAGCTTGATCTGAATACAGGGCTACATTGCTTCAAGAGAGGACACAATCAAAGAGTAAGCCAAAGTTTATTTGTTCTGAAAACAAACTGATGACATCACAAATGGACCAGGCTTTCACATCCGTTACAAATAAGATCCGCACTCAGCAACAACTTGCTATTTTACCAATTCTATTTTCGACCAGATCTGTGCGATAGATGATATCAAGCATTGACAGTTTAGGAGGGATTGTAAATACAATAAAATGGGTCGGTCGCACGGTGCCATGTAACTTGACTTAGTCGCAGCTCATCCTGACACAACTGTTGTTTTGACCTCGTCTTGTGCGCTATACAACAACAAATTCCAAATGGTTACGACAAGACAGACCTGTTCTGTATCGCCCGGCAAATTTATGCTTTTCCACTACATCCGGCCCAGCTACTTATATCAATAATTAGTAGGTCCAGAATAAGAACAAAAGCCATAATTTACTTGCATGATCAGGTCAGCCAGAATAAGAACACATTTTTAAGAAGAAGTCCAAGTTAACTTTAATTTCATCGTACTCAACTGTCATTCCTTGATCACTTTGTACGAACTAGGATTACATTTCTTATACAAGGCTTATCGATAGTATAAAGACCTGTTTGACCCAGCCAGAACGTCCGAGCAAAATAAAATGACATATACTGTCATCGCACGGTGAGTCTCTTCTTGAGATGTATTCACCCTATTTCGTGTAAGGTGATGAAGGACTGGTAGTAGAATTTTTCCACAATGACATGAGTTGAGCTGACGTTTTCCATTCAATTTCACATAGCCTTGCTTTCCCAAAAGTTGTTCTCATCCAGACTGGAGTAGACTGCAGTTTCGACCTCGCATCGGTCTTATCAACACCCGATGAAGCAAACGTATGTTTGCTATAGCAATCGACAACGTTACCTATATTCGTATAAGAGTAGGGTCTCGAGACTACCAGTACCTTAGACGAAATAGGGTGAATACATCTCATATT